TCTTCATGGGAAGATGGAAGACAACGTTGATGAGATATCAATTTCTCTCCAAATCAATCTATTTCAATTCAACCCCAATCAATATTGCAGCAGGTGTGTTTGTAGAAATTGATAAACTGGTTCTAAAGTTTATATGGAAATGCAAAGGACCTAGAATAATCAAAACAATTTTGATAAAGAAGAATAAAGTTGGAGCAGTAACACTTCAAGTATTCAAGACCTATTATATAGCTACAGCAGTCAAGATAGAGTGGTATTGACATAAAGATTGTCAAATAGAACAATGAAACAAAATCGAGAGTCCAGAAACAGACCTCCACATATATGAATAAGTGATTTTCAACAAAGTTGTAAAGGTAATTAAGTGGACAAAGGATATTCTTTTCAGCAAATAGTGTTGGAATAACTGGATATCCATATGCAAAACAAAGAACTTTGATCTATACCTCATACCATATTAAAAAGTAACAAAATAATTCATAGATATAAAGGTAAAATCTAAAACTGTAAAACCAGAAGAAAACATAGGAGTAAATTTCTGTGACCTTTGGTTTGGCAAAGATTTTTAATTATGACACTGAAAGTACAATTCATAAAAGTGTAAATTTATAAATTAGACTTTATCAATATTAAAAACATCTGCTCTTCAAAGGATACTGTTAAGAAAACAAGAATAAGGCACAGATTAGGAGAAAATATTTTCGAATCATATGTATGACAATGGACTTGCATCAGAATTCATAAAGAACTCTCAAACAATAAGGAAATAAACAACTTTTTTTTAAAAAGCAAACAAAACATTTGAACAAACACACCAAGAAAGATATACCAATGACACATAAGCCCATGAAAAGATGATCAACATCATTAGTCATTAGGGAAATGCAATTAAAACCACAATGAGATATCACTATATAACTATTAGAATTGCTAAAATTAAAAATACTGACCATACCGATTGTTGTCCAGGATATGGAAGAATCAGAACTGTAATATACTGCTAGAGGGAATGTAAAATGATACAATCACTTTGGAAAATTGTTTGGTAAAACATATGTCCATACAAAGACTTATACATACAATTTCATAGTAGCTTTATTTGCAATATCAAAAAACTGGAAACAATCCAAATACTCATCAACAGGTAAATGGATAAACTATGGTATATCTATACAATGAATCACTACTCAGCAATAAAAGGAATGAACTAATGATACATACTTAATATAGATGAATCTTAAAATAATTACGCTGAGTGAAAGAAGCTAGATGAAAAAATCATACACTGTATTACATAAAATTCTAAGAAATAAAAACAAATGTAGAACACATTTAGAATTCAGATCTTCATTTCCAATATAATTTTCCAATAAATAGCTGTTTCTAGGATGGGAGCAGGAAATAGACAAGATGAGTCTGTAGCATTTTGTAATGACAGAAAGTAGGAAAGTGCGCGTGCGTGTGCGCAAGCGGGCGCACGCACACACACACACACACACACACACACACACGAGCTCCCAATGCCCAAAGCTAGGACAACTTGAGCAACAAAATAAAGTGTACTGGATTATAACCCAAAGTATAAAAAATAAACATCCATGAGTCAATACTGATATAAATAAAAGACTGAATAAATTAGTAAATAGGGGAAAAGAAGTAATTCTCCCATGCAGAAGAATTCCAAATAAATTTTGTAGATACTCCACCCTAAAGGAAGGAGAGCTTAACTCCTTACTCCCACATATTCCCTAAAGTATGGTCTGCTTAGTGACTTCCTTCCAAAGAGTACAGTATGGCAAGAGGGGAAAAAGAGTAATTTTGCAGGGGAAAAACCTGACAAATACTACTTCAGCCATGTGATCAAGGTCAACATCAACACTGATAAGTCACGTTGACAGTATGTAACTGGATATGAAGTGATGAGTATGGCACTTTACCCCTGTGATTTTCCTCACGAAACCCATAACTCCAATCTAATCATGAGGAAAACATGAAATTCCAATAGAGGGGGACCCTACAATATGCCTCACCAGATTCCCCAGAGCTGTCAAGGTCATCAAAATCAAAGAAAGTCTGAGAAACTTTCATAGCCAAGAGGAGCCTAAGAAGACATAGCAACAATGTAATGTGGTGTCCTGGATGGCATCCTGGGAAAGAAGAAGAACATTAGGTAAAAACTAAGGAAATCTGAATAAACTATTTCTATTAGTTAATAATAATGTATTGATATTAGTCTATTAATTATAACAAGTATACCATATTAATATAAGATGTTAATAGGGGAAACTGTATGTAGAGGATATATGGGAACTCCCTGTACTATCTGCTTAATTTCTCTGTAAATCTAAAATTGTTCTAAAAAAGTAAAGTCTATTAATAAAAACATTAACACACTTAGTCCTAAAAACCGTGTGTGTATAATTTAATATGTTTAATAAATCAGATATGATTTTTTTTAAAAAAAAAACTAATGTGTAGTGATAGAAAGCAGATTAGTGGTTGCTTACGGATAGATGGGAAGTGGCAGAGGTGGGTGGGAATAGGAAAGAGCAGTAGGAAAGGATTAAAAAGTGGCATGACATAAATAAAGATGAAATTGTGTCATTTGTGACGTGAATGGACCTTGAGGGTATTATGCTCAGCAAAATAAGTCAGACAAAGAAAGATACATACCGTATGATGTCACTCATTTGAGGAAGATAAACAAACAAACACACACAGATACAGAGAACAGATTGGTGCTTACTAGAGGGAAAGGGGTTAGGCGAAGGGCAAAAGGGAAAATGGGGCACAAGTGTAGTGACAGACGGAAACTAGACTTTTGGTGGTGAACACAATGCAGTCTATACAGAAACCAAAATATAATGACGTACACCAGAAATTTACACAATGTTATAAACCAGTGTGACAAATAAAAACAATAATAATAAAAATTTTAAAAAATAAAAATAAATGAAAAGTGGCATAAGGGAACTTATGGAGGAAAAGGGTTATTTATGATCTTGTTTGTGGTGATGGTTTCACAGGTATATACATATGTCAAAGTGTAACAAAATGTACATTTTAAACATATGCAGCATATTGTTTGACAATTATACCTTAATAAAACTTTTTTCAAATATAAACAGACAAACAAAAACTTCCAAATTTGAATTCTCTTCTCCAAAAGTAAATAGTCTTCAGGAATATTTGGAGTTAGCCCCATCTACTTGAATTTAACCAGTAGTTCTGTTTCACTCAAAGATTCATATATTTTGAAATTCCTGTACCAACAACGCTAATCACCAAGAATCAAATGTCATGGCATAATGGTGATTTAGGATATGCTGGGCACCTTTATTATTGTTTTCCCACTTCAAGATTTTCAATCTTATGCAAATAACCTAGTCAGACTGTATGGCTTGAGAGAATTTGTATAACCAATCAAAATTAAGCCAAATATAGTTTGCCAGATTTAAAATGAGGCCGAGAGCCAATTTTATGGCTACAGCAACCTGAAAACCAAATTCCAAGCTATCTGCTGTTTAAAAATAACACTCCCAAGAAGGCTGCCATTTGATGGCCTGGGTTCCAATCTGGCTATGCTACTTACTGTCTTTATAACATTGAGCAACTCCGTGCCTCAGTTTGCTCAACTATGAAATGGAGATAACAGTACCTTCTTCATGGGACTGTTGAAGGATTAAACAAATTAACACATGTAACGGTCTTAAAAGACTACCTGGCAGTGCTGTCCGGATTCTACAAATTCTACAGATTCTGTGGCACCAACCATCAGGAAAACGTAAACCAAAACCACAGTGAGACACCACTTCACACATTGGGAGAACTATAACAAGAAAGACCTAACAAGTGCAGCCAAGGATGTGGAGAAATTGGAACGCTCATATATATATATACTTCTAGTGGGAATGCAGAATGTACAGTCACTTTGGAAAACAGTCTGGCAGTTCCTCAAAAGGTAAAACTCAGAAAGTTAACCCTAGAATTACCATATGACCCAGCAATTCTACTTCTAGGAATATATCCAAGAGAAAGGAAAACACATGTTCATACAAACACTTGTACATAAATCTTCATAGAAGCATTATTCATAATAGCCTAAAAGTAGAAACAACCCAAATGTCCAACAACTGATAAACAGATAAATAAAATGTGGTATAATCATACAATGAAACATTATTTGGCCGTAAAAAGGAATGAAGTACTGATACATGCTACAACACGGCTGAACCTTGAAAACAATATGCTAAGTGAAAGAAGTCGGCAAAAAAGACCACATATGGTACAATTCCATTTATACGAAATGTACAAAATAGATAAATCCCTAGAGAAGGAAAGTAGATTACTGGCTAGGAGGATATTTGGGGAGAAAGGAGTGACTGCTAATGGGATGAGATTTCTTTTTGGGGTGTATAAATCTAAAATTGATAGTGGTGATGGTTACGCAACTGTGAATATGCTAAAAACCATTGACTTGTACACTTTAAAAGGAGTGAACCTTATGATATGTGAATTATACCTCAAAAAAGCATGTTAAGTGGTTTAAAATGGATGGGAAAGAGGAAAGCCTGAGAGCAACAATAACAGTATTCATAATAATAAATTAGTTCACCTCTGTAGCCTCATCCCCTTCCATTCCCAAATTTACTCTATGCTGTATCCATAATGACCCCCTTGCAGTTCTAATATTACATCTTCCTATTTGATGTCCTGTGAACATAGTATATGTGCTTCCTGGAATTCTCTTCACCTCTCCTCTATCTGCCTAATTCCTTTACATCTAAAATTAGTCAGAATAAGCTAATTGCTGGAATAATCAATTCCAAAATCCAGTGGCCTAACATGATGCAAGTTTATTTCTGACTCATGTAGACCCTCCCAAGGTGAGACAGAGATCCAGGCTCCTTACCTCTAGTGGCTCTGCCCATCCTGGAGTCTTGGAGTCTTCCACTGTATTCTCTACCCCTGGCTGAGAGAACCTGTGGGGGCATCAGCACAGATAGGACCTCGAGGAACTTTCCAAGTGATTAATTCCGTTTTGAATATGGTACATTTAAGATGATGTCAAGATACCCAATGGTCTTGAGTTCAGCACAGAGATTGTTCGTTTCTGACTCCATATCTCAAATATATTGTGAGACTCCCCACCCCCCTCCAGTATATCTTCAAGAAGTAAGAGGAGATCTGCTTAAAAAACTCAAGGATTATTTTTTTTTTAAATAAGAATGTTGAGGGAAGAAAATACTATTCAACAACTCTATTGAAGATTTTATGATGTAGCACAGGAATAAGCTGCAACTAAAGGAAACTTTCCTTAAAGTACTATTTATTAAAAATTGGAATGCATTCCTGAGGACAAATCAAGGGATGGCACACAACATCCAAACTTCCTGCACAGGTAGAGAGGTGTTATCAACTTTCTTACACTCCCAAACTTCTCTGCTACCTTGAGGACTGTTTAAGAGGAGCAGGACATGTTGTTTGCAGTAAGAGAAATTTGAAGGTACTCACTTTTATGGAAGACATAAAAGAGAATCTCTTTTATATTATTTAAGATCATCCTTGATACACTTATTCTGAAAGATAATATAGCCAAATATCTTCCTCTTTGTTAAATCTTTACAACACTAAAATCCTGAAAAGTCAGCGTAGAATCCATTCGTTTTTCCAGTCAGATTGGGCGTAATTCTTAATTGATAGGACAACATCTAATATGCTTATGAAGTTCCATCCCACAACACCTGCTCTTCAGAGTGGAACTCAGACTAGCGCTTGGGAATACCAACTCCAGAAATTCAGATCAAGTCCATAATTGGGGTAGGGAGGGGCTGTAGGCGGGGCCTCCGGAAGGGGAGGAAGCGTCGTTAGAAAGCTGTGGGACCAGTCCACGGCTGTCACAACTTGAGTTAAGCCTTGTAGTATCTGAGCGTGCGAGGATCTGGTGTGTGAGTAGCATTCTCAATGAGAACTAGTTTCATTTGGCATTTGAGTGGAATCTGCAACCAGAGGAGTTTCGTCCTCCCGGACTGCTGAGAAATGCGACAGCTGCAGAGGTGACTGTCGCCAGCAATAGGGAGCCGGCAGGAAGACTACTGTTGTGGAGAATGGGCTGTACCGAAAGGTCCAAGTAGCCCCAGGGTTTTAGTGAGAAGGGAAGTGGAACGCAGTCAGGGATTGGGAGCTACAAGGCGTGCACCGGTTTGAAGCCGGAGAAAAAGTCGGGAGAGAGAGCCGCGTCTAATTACTTTAGAAGCTGCCACCACTCGAGTGCCGGACTTGTGAGTATTCTGCGTCTCTTGTCGTCAGACTGAAGTTGGAGAGCTCTCCCAGTTAGGCGACGAGATCCTACAACTACCTTCTCCTGCCCTCCCCACTTGCCTCAGGGACCCAACAACTGCCACCCTTTCCTTGCCTACCGGATGCAGGGCAAGGGCAGGAGCTGACCAGCGCCGCCCCCTTCCGACCCAGGAGGTGGAGATACCCCCCGCCGGTCCAGCCAAATTCAACACCTGTTTTCTCTTCCCGCTGCTCCTATATTCCCGACACCTCCTCCGCCTTGCCCTATCCCTCCTCCCTAGAGACAGGGGAGGAGAAAAAGGAAGTTCAAGTCGTCATGACAGAGCTGAAAGCAAAGGATCCCAGGGCTCCCCACGTGGCGGGCGGTGCGCCCTCTCCCACCCAGGTCGGATCCCCTCGGCTGGGACGTCCAGACGCTGGCCCCTTCCAGGAGAGCCAGCCCTCCGACGCCTCGTCCGTGGTCTCGGCCATCCCCATCTCCCTGGACGGGCTGCTCTTCCCTCGGCCCTGCCAGGGACAGGACCCCCGGGACGGAAAGACGCAGGCCCAGCAGTCGCTGTCAGAAGTGGAGGGGGCGTATCCCAGAGTTGAAGCCACAGGGGCTGCAGGAGGTGGCAGCTCTAGACCCCCAGAAAAGGACAGCGGGCTGCTGGACAGTGTCTTGGACACGCTACTGGCGCCCTCAGATCCGGGGCAAAGCCACGCCAGCCCTCCCACCTGCGAGGCCACCAGCCCTTGGTGCCTTTTTGGCCAGGAGCATCCTGAAGATCCCCGATCTGCCCCCTCCACCCAGGGGGTGTTGCCCCCGCTCATGAGCCGGCCCCAGGGCAAGGCTGGCGACAGCTCTGGGACGGCAGCTGCCCATAAAATACTGTCCAGGGGCTTGTCACCGTCCCGGCAGCTGCTGCCCCGGACCTCTGGGAGCCCTCGATGGCCTGGGGCCGCAGTGAAGCCGTCTCCGCAGCCCGCAGTGGTGGAGATGGAGGGGGAGGATGGCTCCGAGTCCGAGGACTCCGTGGGTCCGCTTCTGAAGGGCAAACCCCGGCCTCTGGGAGGCACGGCGGCCGGAGGAGAAGCCCCGGCCACGGCTCCTGGGGTGGCCGCAGGAGGCGTCGCCCTGGTCCCCAAGGAAGATGCCCGCTTCTCGGCGCCCCGGGTTGCTCTGGCGGAACAGGACGCGCCACCGGCGCCCGGGCGCTCCCCGCTGGCCACCACGGTGATGGATTTTATCCACTTGCCCATCCTGCCGCTCAACTCGGCCTTCCTGGCCGCCCGCACCCGGCAGCTGCTAGAGGGGGAGAGCTATGACGGCGGGGCCCCGGCTGTCAGCGCCTTTGCCCCGCCGCGGGGCTCGCCCTCGGCCTCGGCCACCCTGGTGGCCACCAGCGACTTCCCCGACTGCGCGTACCCACCCGACGCCGAGCCCAAGGAGGACGCGTTCCCGTTCTACGGCGACTTCCAGTCGCCCGCCCTGAAGATCAAGGAGGAGGAGGAAGGCGCCGAGGCCGCCGCGCGCTCCCCGCGGCCGTACCTGGTGGCGAGCGCCAATCCCGCTATCTTCACCGAGTTCCCGCTAGCGCCGCCGCCTCTGCCTCAGCGCGCGCCGTCGTCCAGACCCGGGGAATCGGCCGCGGCGGCCGCCCCCCCGAGTACCTCCGTCTCGTCCGCCTCCTCGTCGGGGTCGACCCTGGAGTGCATTCTGTACAAGGCGGAGGGCGCGGCGCCCCAGCAAGGCCCGTTTGCGCCGCCGCCCTGCAAGGCGCCGGGCGCGGGCGCCTGCCTGCTGCCGCGGGACGCCCTGCCCTCCACCTCGGCCTCGGCCGCCGCGGGCGTGGCAGCGGCCCCTGCGCTTTACCCGCCGCTCGGCCTCAACGGGCTCCCGCAGCTCGGCTACCAGGCCGCCGTGCTCAAGGAGGGCCTGCCGCAGGTCTACCCGCCCTATCTCAACTACCTGAGGTGAGCGGCCGGGGCGAGGCGCGCCCTGCGCAGCGCGGGAGAAGGGCCACCGCCGCCGCCAGCCCCCTGCCCTCCGCTCCCCGCGCGGCCGCGAGGGCGTGGGTGGTGGGGGCGGCGCACGGGGCAGGTGGGCTTCATTCTCCTTCCCTCTTGTCCTCATTTTTGGGGGATGCAAAGGGGGCGCAGAATATGCCGGGTTTTGGAGCATGCCTTCCCGCAAACATTTTTCTAAACTTTACAAATCGGCGAGCTTCCCGGGCAGGACCGGCCCTGATTGAAAATTTGCAGCGTCACACTAGGTCCGCTGTGGCCCCGTGGAGCCGAAAAGGTGAGGCGATGTGGGGGCTTTATGAAATGCTTCTCTTCTTGCAAGGCTGTCTCCTGAGGATGTGTTTTGGAGAGGAGACGTTAAGGCACCGTCCCCCGGGAGGGGAATCACTTGATGCGGGGTACCCGGCCAGAACCGAAAGCAGGTTTGGACGCTTAACGGCTCCATTTTCATACAAATCTCAAGATTAAAATTAATTAGAAGGGTAATGTGTTTAAATTCTGGATTTAAACGTTAATCCCTGCAGTGCACTGTATTCCAGTGTTGTTTCGGATCCGCTATAACTTTTTTCGTGAAGGTTTTCAAAAACATTTTAATTTACATATTGAAGTAATGGAATTTTATAGGAAAAAAAGAATGCTCTCTTGGAATCTTCTGTGCTGTAAATAGGGGAAAAAAAAGTGTCAGTATATTGAACAGTACTTTAAATGACAAACACCTATGCTTGTAACAATAATTATAGGGTTGAGTTTTAAAAACTCAAAACAAAAGCTTTGCTAAGAACGATTAAACTCTTGAAGCAAAAACCATGTTTATTGTTACCTAGCATACAGGAAGGGCATAATAATTCATTTGATGAAGGCTAAATTGATTCTAAATAAGTTTTGTAGAAAGAATTTTTTAAACCAGTGGACCTTAATTTTCCTAACATAAAATTGTGTATAAATTGTTATTCTTTCATGTTGCTGTTCCTGATTAACCGCTAATAATTTGCAAGTCTGATGAATCCAGTAACAGGTAGTGCACCAAGTTTAGTTGCATGTCTTTCAAGTGTGCATTTATACAATGCTATTTTTAAAATCCCCTTTCGCCCTGTCAATGACCAGTTAAGAAAACTTTAGTATTAGATAGTGGTGCACCTAAAAATAAATGGAGTACTTTGTTTTGCATTTCAAGGCCGGATTCAGAAGCCAGCCAGAGCCCACAGTACAGCTTCGAGTCATTACCTCAGAAGATTTGTTTAATCTGTGGGGATGAAGCATCAGGCTGTCATTATGGTGTCCTTACCTGTGGGAGCTGTAAGGTCTTCTTTAAAAGGGCAATGGAAGGTAGGCTCCTTTCCCCTCACCCTTTGTTGTTGGCTTGATTGTAAATGGAGACCATCTAATATTTTATAGATTTTATTTATCCCTTGCTTCTTCTAAGAAAGTTATATTTCCATATAACTTAAAATGTATGATGTTTTAACAATATGTTTTTATTTATAATACTCAAACTTGAACGTGGTTGGATATTATAATTGCGTACTGTTTGACTAACACTTTCAATATTATACACAAGTCATACTAATCTCGGGAATAATGCTACTATTGTTTATTAACTGTCTGGCTTTAAGAAATAGCTTTGTTCTAATCATATGTCTCTATTTCTATCATATATAATATATAATATATATTAAATTTAAAATTTCAATCAAAATAAAAATGGTAAAAGTTGTTGAAATTATATAAATGTACTTGTATGTATATGTGTACATATGATGCAGTTACAAATTTTCTATATGATTTTGTCTTTCCCATACTTGCATATCTCTGTAATACTTATATAATGATAATTCTAAACAAATTTTTTAAATTGTTTAGCATATTTTTGTAAGTGTATAGGGAATGGAGTAAATAGTTTAAAGCAAATGAAAAAATTTGGACATCACAGTAATATAATTTCTAAAGAAGTATTTTGCTTCAAGTAAGACATTTAAGTTTTTAAAATCATCTACATATTTAGTGATTTTGCATTGACTTGCATAGTATATTTCAGACTTGAACTTTCGTAGAAAATGTTTTTTAATTTCTCTATCTACACTGAACTCTAAGTAGGCAAACACATTATATTTGAAGATCATTTCTCATTTGAATTCTCACAATAAGTGTATTTTATAACAAGCTGAAGTGAGTTTAGGTTCCCTCTGGAGTACTAAGATCACATCTAGACAAGGAACCAAAGATCTAGATGTCTGCTTTTTTTGCTTTCTGTCCATGAGTTTTCTGATTGCAGGAGCCCTCTATTCATAAAGAAAAGAGGGAGTGGGGAATTTTTACCTTAAGAGGGCTTTCAGAGGAGTTTGATGTGCATATTTAATGCACATTTACCCCAAAGGAATATTAACCTAAAAATATTTAACAAAAATATTGACTATCCCTGCAGATGCCTAACAGGTGATTCTTTAGAACTATTATGCCTTTTTGATAAAAATGATTCCCAACTATTTATTAATAGTATTTGTACTCATTCTACTGAAATTAATTCTTCATAAAAATATTTGCTTTGTATATTTCTAGAATATGATTTTTTCCCACAAAGGATGAATGTTTTTAACTGATGTTGAACACATGTATTCAGCTTCAGGGGGGTTTAATTGCATTTTAAATTAACTGAAGCACTGTGAAAAGAGGGTACTTGAGAAAATGGTACAACTGAGAGTGGCTTTAACTTTCCCATTGACATCATTTAGTCATAGTTGCAGATAGAAGTTCATTGTGTGAAGAGTCAATTCTCCAGTGTGTAATTGGAGTTACTATCCCATCTGACTTTGGTTCTGGTTTCTTGAACATTCCTTTCTGCATTAATATGATTTTCTTTATTCTTATAGTCTCCTTAGAATAATATAATTTTATAAGTGAATGATCCCCTTCGAATTCCCTAAAGGCCAGTTTCTTCTAGCCCAGCTCCTTCTTTTTACAGATAAGCAATCCCAAAGATATAAATTTGAGTATCCAAAGAGCACACAACTAGTTACTAATTGATTGTTAGTCAACATAGGTTAGATATTATTTAATTACAATGCTTATAAATCAGAAATGCTGTGCACAAGTGGATATATGGTAAATGCTGTTTAATTCTCAGAAGTTACTTCAAAAAGTGCATGTAGAGAACTAAGAGCACCCTAACTGTAAAATACAAATGTTTTCACCACATTATTATCAGAATAGCATCCAAAACCAAAAATTTACTCTTAGGAAGTATTTGTTGGACCCCTACTTTTGGCATGGTCCTATTTTAGTCTTAAATAGTAGAAATGAGGCACTCTTATTTGGCAACATTTATAAAGAGGAACTTAGGACAGACATTGATAAATCCTTCATGAAACTAGAGCAAGATTACAAAAGTATATGAGTAAGTTCATTCATTCAGCAATTATTGTATACCTCTTATATTTAGATTTGTGCCAAAGATATTCTTTCCCTGACTTCACTTCTCTCTGCCTTAGATTACAAAATGAGGATAGCTGTAGCTACTTCTTAGAGTTGTTACAAAGATTGCATGAGTTAATACGTGTAAAGTATTTAAAAGAATGCCTAGCATATTGTCAGCTTCAATTGGTGTTGTTTTTGCCTTCAAGGAGTGTAGAGTTGAGGAGGTAACAGATATGCATGTAAAACATATGTGTATGTAAAATAGAAATTCTCACTTAACATCCAGATAAGCAATTCTATAAAGTATGTAAGATTTGTGTAGTTTGTGAGTTTGTATATTTGCAAAGGGGGAGGGTGTTCGTAGGATGGAATGTACATGTTCTAGAATGATGGGAGAAGACTTCATGGAAGATATAAACTTCATTTGGTTATTAAAGGACAAGTAAGATTACTGATCTCTGAACATTGAGGAGAACTTTTAAGTGTATATGTTCAAAGAAGAGTGAAGAGATTAAGATTAGACTGACCAAGACTTGAAGATTCATATTAGGAAATTGTTAGAGTTATAGGCTGGGAAGTTAGGTTGTTAGTATTTGGATGAATTGGGAGAGAATCAGTGATTTAAAGCAAAAGAATAGAGAGAAGGTTCTGGGAGTTTTCAATAGTAAGGAAGATGAGTGAAAGGACTTTTATAGTTGAAGAGAAATACCAGGTTTGAATCTTAGAGTAAAGTAGGGCTGTGTCATGAGCTGGTTTGAGGTAGAACTCTGTGGGGATGTCAGTATGTCCAGGTGTTGAAAGTCAAGAGTCAACAGTATCAATATTAATGTTTACTAAGGATAATAATGATAATAATGGCATTTAGAGTGACTATGTGCCAGTGGCACATTTCTATGTGCCAGTGACTATTTAAGTGTCTTATGGGTCTTAACTCATTTAATCCTTATAATGTAGATATTATTATTATTCTCTCTTTCCAAATAAGGAAAGTAAGGCCCAAAGATGTTGAATAGCCTTCAGTACAGCTGGGAAGTTGTAGGGTCAGGATTCAAATCCAAATGGTGTGACTCCAGAATCTGTGCTCTCCACCACTATAATTCTTTTCTCATAATAGGAAATGTGGTTTAAAATTTCAAAGAAAAACAATAGAGGGTTGGAAGAAAAAGTGTTAGCCAAGTGATAAAATAGACATCTAAGAAGGTAAAAGTGAATCCTAAAAGAAAATGCAAGACCAAGGATGTTTGGAGGGTGTGATATAAATAGATAGAGCAGCAATGAGAAGACACAAGCAGGGGCCAAAAACCAGTTACCCCACCTGTCCTCCAAGTTAGGAGTGGGAGATGAGAAAGCCTATACAGAAGTCACCCAGGAAAACTGGGTTTCTTTTGGTATGAGACGGAAGACAGAAGTGGGAGAAAAAAAAAAAAAAAGAAACCACTCTGAAGTCGGGTACAGGGAGAGGGAGAGATGATGTCTCTTAAGCTAAAAGATGAATTAGGCAAAAAGCAATTGGCTGAATAGCCCACTGCATTCCTTTATTAAGACTTGGCTTGAAGCAACATATACATTGTGAAAGGATTCTCCCCATAAAGTCAATGAACACATCCATTACCTCACGTTTACCTTTTTTGGGCAAGAACATTTAAGTTCTACTCCTTCAGCAAATTTAAACTATACAATAAAATGTTATGAACTATAGTCACCATATTATACATTAGGTCCTCAGACCTTATTTATTTTGTAGTTGAAAATTTGTACCCTTTTACCAACATCTCCCTATTTCCTCCATACACCTCCCTCCGCCCCCCAGGCCCTGGCAACCACTTTTCTACTCTCTGTTTCTATGAATTTGATTTTTTTTTATTCTAACATAAATGATAGCATACGGTATTTTTCTTTCTCTGTCTGGCTCATTTCACTTAGCATAATGTCCTCCAGGTTCATCTGTTTTTTTGTTGTTGTTCATGTATGAATTAACCAAATTTATTGAATACCTGCTGTGTGCCAAATACTATGCTGGGTGCTAGTTGAAAAAGCAGTAAAAGGGGTGAGCTAGCTGGCTGCAACCCTAGTGGAGTTTATAGTATAGTAGAGGAAAGGGACATTCTCTCAATTAGCATGCATGTAAGTAATTATAGAAGTGGTAAGTGATTAGTTTGTGCAATGCCTGGGCAACTAGAGAATTGACTAGTCTGCCAGAAGCTGGGCATGGTGGGAAGAGTCTTTGAGAATTAGAGACACCATCATAAGTAGACCACAGAAGAAACTAGACAGAAATGAAATATTTTTATGAATAATGGATTTCTTTCAAAAGTTCAGAAGAGTTGGTGTCATAAACTAAAAATGAAAACTGATTTGGCAGCATAGTTCTGCCTGGTATGGCTTCCAAAAGAGAAATAATGAACATACAAACATTTTTAAGATTTTATTATCTTTTAGAGCAATTTTAGGTAAACAGTGAAATTGAGAGGAGGAACAGAGATTTCCTATATACTTCCTGCCCTGATACATGCATAGCCTCCCCTTTTATCAACATTCTTCGCCAGAGTGACACATTTGTTACAATTGAACCTACATTGACCTATCATAATCTCTCAAAGTCGATGGTTTACATTAGGGCTCGCTCTTGGTGTTGTACATTCTATGGGTCTGGGCAAATGTACAGTGACATGTATCCATCATTATATAATGCCCCTCTGTATCCCTAAAAACTTTTTCCTGCCTTTGGAGCTTTTTAATGCTTTCTCTGTCTTTTGTAGTCCACAAATTATCCAGCAATCCCTTCTACCATAATTTCTTCGATTAATATTTGGGCTCTTGAGAAGATAATTTGCCAATAAACTTGTTTAATGTAACTTTCTCTCCAGTAGAGTCTACCCTGTGGCAGTTTTCCTGTTACCCTAAAAACAAACATG